TTCAGTGACTATTCTTTCTCCACTAATGAAGGTCTTAGTACCAAACTGGAAATGTCCAACCAGCCTAGAGAGTGCATCAGGAAGTTCTTTCCAAACCGGAAGTGCTTTGTCTTTGATCAGCCTACAAGTGACACAGAATTGTTACACTACATGGAGGAAGTGTCAGAAAATCAACTGGATTTGAATTTCCAAGAGCAATTCCAAAAATTCTGTTCTTATATCTTCACACATGTAAAAGCCAAGACCCTAAGGGAGGGGATCACTGTGTCTGGAAATGGTGAGTCTAGTCACTACATGTCTCTGTGGCTCAGTGTATGGATGACACCCATTGCTCCCTGGGCTGTTAGCACTGTTCTGTCTTGCTGTATGTGCTACAAAAAGACAGGTGTTACGCTACACATAGAAATTCATGTTGTTATTAAAATTTCCTTATAAAAGGAACTACTGATTCTTGAAGTGTCTCATGAAACTAAAACACTGGCTGTTGTTTTTTTTTTTTTTTCATTAGACTCACTGTTCTTAAGAATAAAAATCTGTGTGAAGATGAGTTGACAGGAAAATTCTTGTTTGGTGAGGAGATGCACGATATTCTGTGAATTTACACAGTTAGACAATAAGTAGCAGGACGTGAGTCTTTGAGAAAGACTTGAAAGTTTGAGAAAATATTAAATATAATCTTGGGGTCTTGGGCTGGATTATGGACAGGACACCTGGGCAGACACCATGTGTCCTGTGTTCAGATGGACACAGGACTGAGGAATGCGTGTGGCACTGGCTTGAAATGCATACCATTTTTTCTAAGTGGGACTTATTTTCATATGGAAAGTGTGAAAATTATGTACTTCATTTAACTGTAAAATAAGCACTTTTTAATTTTATTTCAATGAGTGAAGTTTTCCTAGTAATCTTTGACTACATAGGTTGATATCATTAACTTATCCTTGTAACATGATGAAACAGAAAAACAATAAAAAAAGAGTAAAAAATACAGTAACATTATAACTAGGCTGTTGATTCACAGAAGACAAAAAGAGAAAGAAATGATGAAGACAGGGTGGAGATGAAGCAAAGATAAAAGTCAACATACTTCAATAAACTTTTTGTGATTTTTACAATGTTGATCTCAAAGTTGTGAATTCTTTTTATCCCCTAAATATCATATGACATTCAGGGCTGAGAACTCTCGTTGTGATCTACGTGGACACCATCAACAGTGGAAGTATTCCTTGTTTGGAGAATGCAGTGACAACTCTGGCCCAGCTTAAGAACTCAGAGGCTGTGTGGAAGGCAGCCGACCACTACAGCCAGCAGATGGCCCAGAGAGTGCAGTTCCCCACAGACACGCTCCAGGAGCTGTTAGACCTGCATGCAGCCTGTGAGAGGGAGGCCATCACAATCTTTATGAAGCACTCCTTCAAGGATGACAAGCAGGAGTTCCAGAAAATGCTTCTGGTAATAGGTCTAAACCTTCATTTGCCCTTATTTCTGTGTTTCCTGAATGTCCTATTCACCCTGCTTGGCCCTATGTTTCATGAGCTCTCCTTGTAGGAGGAACTTGATGCAGTGCTTCCTTTTTCTAAAAGAATGACTGTTTTTCCTCTTATGAGAAAATGTCTCACATGAGCTTAGCATCTTAAAATATTTATTAGTTCATAGTACCTCTTGTCAGATTCCTTTAAAAGATAGTATCAGCCCCATTTATGTACAAGTAGAAAACAAGTTAAAAATGGGCTTATTTTACCATCTGCAGGCAGGGCGTCCCCACTCTTCATTTAATCCAAAAAAAAGCATATGCCAATGCCATCCTCCTTTTCTCAATTTTTACATGTCTGCCTTCTCTGCCCTAACCTACAGAAAAATGCTTTTAAAAGATTCAAATGATTAGGTAATGACCTGCTGGTACTCTAATTTCCTAAAGTTCATTTGATTTACATACCCAACTAACAGGATTAATATTCACAATCACAGAGAAAATGCAGACAATAAATATCAGAGAGGAGCCTCTTGGGGATCATAATAACACCTCTTAGTCAAAGCAACATTACTGTAATTTTTCCTTTTAGTTTCCCATTGATCATTGGACAAATCACAAATATCACCTTGTTCATGCAGAAAGAAGGTGAAACAAGTTCTCTTCCTAATAGTTGCACACAAACAGTCACTGAAAGAATTTATGACAGGTTCAAAACTCTGTTCAGCAACCACTTAACTCACTAATGAGTAGCTGATGCTATGCATAAATAGAGAAAGTTAGCATCCCTTCATCCAATAACATTCTATTGTTTATTGTTGATGGATGGAGCATTGTTAGTTCTACATTCTGTAGTGAACCACTGATAACACTATATTGCACATAAAAAGAGTTCAGGGTATAGATCATGAAAGATCTCATTAAAAGAAAAAAATCATGAATATGTAAGATGACAAATGTTAGCTAGAGTTATGTTGTGATCATTGTGCAGTATCAGCAAATATAAATTATGATGTTGAACAAAGAAACTAATGAAGTATTTTATGTCAGCTGCATCTTAATCAAGAAAATAATTGTTAGTTGTAAGTTTATGAGTAACAACCCCATCATTTCAGAGTTAATGACTTCAGCCCACAGGAGTGAGGGACTTTCAAAAAGTTATGAACTAAATTGATCAGAAGTATGGCTAACAAGTCTCCTGACTCTTGGTCAATCCATGTTTTGTTCACTCTGAGGTCACTAGGCTGCTTCTTCCAGAAGGACCACAGATAGACTTTCCCTCCTAACAACTTTTTTTTTTTTTTTTTTTATTTCTCCATTTTCCACTGGCAGGAAACCACAGAGAAAAAGAAGGACGATTTCTTACTGCAGAATGAAGATGCATCTCTCAAATATTGCCAGGCTGAGCTTAGGAAGCTTTCAGAGTCCTTGAGGGAGAGCATCTCCAGAGGAACATTCTCTGTGCCTGGAGGACACAGTCTCTACTTAGAAGCAAAGAACAAAATTGAGCAGAACTACGAGCTGGTGCCTAGGAAAGGAGTTAAGGTAAGGAATAAACAGAGCTGAGAAGAGCATAACTCTGGTTATGCTACGACTACTGTCATATTTACATAGATAGAGGAAAACACAGAGATAGCTAATATTAGCTTTTATATTGCAATCATTTATATATTCTTTAAAAAGTAGAAATATTTCTTCCCAAATATAAGATTTATTTTCAGGAATCTAGATGAGAAAGACCATTCCTCTCACTTTGTAAACAGTGTAACTGTTTCTTTGCTGCCTATGAGGAGTATATAATGAGAGACACAAAATTCTTCTCAAGAAGTTTAACTTTTACAGAGAATGAAAAATATATAGTTGATTGGATATAGCAGTTATCACAAAGATATACATTGAAGGGGAGATGATAGTGATGAATATGATGATGACTGATGACTGACCTATTTTTCACTAAATCATGTTGGATTATTAATTAAATACTGAGATAATGTGAATTAGCTACTACTTCAATAAACTAGGCACCTCACAGTAAAATTGAAGAATTTTATGCAAGGAGAAGTTAATAAGTCAATGCAAACACACAGCCATCAAGAGGTAGAGATGATACCTGGCAATTTTGGTACCTGGCAGCCATTCAAATCTCAGAAAGAACTTTAGGGAGCATCCCTGGAAGAACATGTCTTTGTATCAAAAAATAAGATAAGATAAAGGAGAAAAAATATACAACAATTAACAGGGGGAATAAAAAACCAGACACTACAAACAAATACCACTTTGAATTTTTAGAACAGGATATAAAACTGGTTGGATCTAACCTGGGAGGGTGGCTTGATTGCAAGAAAAAAACTGTAGGATTAAAATGTGAGTTCCTCTGGCTGGTATTTATTTTTGCAGTAAAGGAAAAGAACCATTGTGGACCCTCAATTGGACAAAGAATTTACAGGATATTATTTATAGGTTCATTGAACAATAATTTCCCTAATATAAGACTAGCTCTTAGCTGCCTGACTAAGTCTTGCTCCTATTGTTTCCTCAGGCGAAGAAGGTTCTCCAGAGCTTCCTGCAGTCACAGGCACCAATAGAAGAATCCATCCTGCAGGCAGACAAAGCTCTCGCTGATGGGGAGAAGGCCATAGAAGGTATGGAGAAAGGAGGGAATGTCCTGCAGTGCATTGATATGGGTGAAAGTAAAACCTTCCTGAAACAACCAGCATCCTTTATTTCTGTGGGGGGAAATGATATATGTGAAATAAACCAGGTGGGTTTTGTTGTTCCTGCAACTAAACAGTGTCTTCCCATCACATTCTGACATATTTTCCTGGTGTGACTACCACTTGGTTTCAGATATCCCTCCCTGAAATTTTAAGGACTATTATCGACTATAATACATATGATAATTGTTAATAAGCTATTATAGTCTATTAGCTCAGAGGGTACAGATCTACATTACTGTTGTTTTTCTTCCCCCTACAAAACTGTTGTGGAACAGCTGAGCGGGCCAAGAAGGAGGCAGCTGAGCAGGAACGGGAGCTTCTAAAACAGAAAGAGAAGAAACAACAGCAATTCATAGAAGCTCAAAAGATAAGTTTTAAGGAAAACATAACCCAACTGCAAGAGAAGATGGAGAGAGAAAAAGATGAACTTCTTAGAGAGCAGAAAAAGATGCTGGATCATAAACTAAAGGTATTTCTGCATAGCCTGATCAGTGACTGAGGGCAACACTACAATTCCTCAGAAGGAAGAAAACAAAAAATTTAACTCTAATCATGACCTAGGTATAAAAGCAAAGGTATATGATTACTTGAAATAGTGAATAAACCTGGATCATGTGAAGACTTAAATATATAAGATCAATACCTTCTGTAGCATTTCATTTTTCAGAGTTCAGTGTTTATATGATTATAGGATCAGATTCTGATCCCAAATTCAGTAGAACAGTAGTTTCAGAGTCCTTCATGATGCATAAAACCACAAAGAGAAATGAAATATATCCATTTATCTTGAAATAAATAGGGAATGCTGAAAACACTAAAATTAGGTCAATTTTATTGTAAATTGCTTGATTCATTCCATACAGATAAAATGTATAGAATGTCCATGAATACATTTGGAGGACATTCTTACAAGCATTCTCTGTCCCAGCCTAGAGTGTGATAACTGTGTTCTGGAGAAATACAGCACTTCCCGTTATGTTAGAAAAGTCCTCATAGCTCCTCAGTGGAAGAAGCACTAGTGGAATTACATCTATATGTTCCCTCTCAAGTGTGTCATCGGACTTGAACACATGCTGGCATAGCTGCCGAGCCTGGCTCAATCCCAATACCTCCCCACTGCAGGGAGAGGTTTTCAGGGGTCTGAAGCACCTACAAGTCAAGGATACTCCAATTACCCAGCTCCAAACATAGGGGTATATTGAACAAACTCATCAAAGAGCAACTAATAGTGGGCAGTAGCAGGACATACTTAGCAGCTAAAACTGTTAAATAGAAAATACTGCTAATTTGACATTTTCAACAGAAGACATCCTTCTTTTTTACAGATGCAAGAAGAACTACTTACTGAAGGGTTTACAAATAAATATGAGGAGATGAACAAAGAGGTAAATCAGCTAAGAGAAGCTGTTCAGCAAACTAAAAGCAATAGATCCACAGCAATTTCTGATGGCCTCATTGAGGCTGGTAGTGTATTAACTGCAGTACTACCTGAGTTTTTAAAGGTTTTTGGTGTAGGCCTTGTTGGTCTTGGCACAGTTATGAAATATGGCAATGGTTGCATTCAATAAATTTGAAAGGTAAAAAGTTATTCCCGGGCCCTCCCTGGTGGCGCAGTGGGTAAATGCAGCACTAAAAAGCTAAAGCCATTTCATCACTATTTCAATCCCCGGCCCCAGAGGTGACCCAGATGGTGTGGCAGAACTCTCCTGACCTCCGACTGCTCCCCTCAGCAGCGTACTTGTCAGTCAGCCTGTTCTGTTCCCCACAGTCTCTGGTGAATCCTCTCACTGACCCTGCACCTCTGGCTTGTACCCCAGTTCTGTATGTATAAATAAACAAAACTTTAGAAAAAAAATATTTATTACCATAGTATATCAAGGGTTGACATCTTAAAAACCCTTGAAATTCTATATATTCAGAATTAACTTATATTCAGAATTAAGTACTAAGATGTGAACTGCAATGGACAAAAGTCCAGCATTATGTTTATCAAGATGGATTATTTCTAGGAAAATTTTGTTCATGGTAAACCCAAATTGTAGGGATTCTTTCCGGCTGGAAACTCTTGGTTTAGAATGAAATGCTTGCAAGTCCATAAACGGTACGTACTCTCTTGACTCAGGCTCTGCACAAAGAACACAACTGTCCTTACACAGTCATTTTCCTCTTCCCTGATACTTTTTGCCCTGTTCCTCCTCACTGTTTCCTAACCACCTGAGACTGGATGAGATGTCTTCCTTTGAACTATGTTGTCCGACTATGGGATACTGACTAATTATGATTTAAAATTCCAATTTAAAAATTTTCTTTTGGGTGATTTGAATTTATTTTGATAAAATTGTGGTAGTGAGATTGTTTTTCATTGGATCTTTGAACTTTCTTTTCTGTTTGGGCCTTTGTCAGCATAAGTGTCATGCTGTTGGAGTGATTATTGATGGTAACATACAAAGAAGAATGTCAATATCAACATACATAAGACAATGCTTGAAAAATTGTTGTGCTGTCCCTATGATGTGCAGACGATGCTTCCATCATTAAAATTGTGAAATTGAGAAGGCCTGTTTACAGCTGTCTTCTCTTCGTGGTCATGAAATGATACTTGATGGTCTTTGTTGTAATTTATTTGACTATTACTGTAATGTCCACACACAGCACCATGTAGCCCACACTTATGTATGAATAAATACATGAGCCACAGCCCTTTAGACAGGGTCCCAAATTGCCATTTCCTTTCATATTGGCTGCTCTCTAGGGTGCTCAAAATAAAGAACTCAACCTTAAGAATGAATGCAGAAGAGACTAAGAGGTAGAAAGGACATGACTGCCCTGAATATGTCACCCTGAATATATTTCTGAATATGTCGCTCTGTTTTCTCAGGAAAACCAGACACTGCATGTGCTATTTGCTCCTCTGGTTTCTTCCCCATGAAATTAGCTAGCCATAAACAACATACCTTGGCTTATAGGACCATTACTGTGATCAAACATCATAAAGCAAATCGTTCTAGTATGCAAACTTCTTTCTACCCATAGTATCTCTGTCCCTTCAAGGTTCTGCTGAAATAGAATACACTTTTGATATGCAGCTCATTGAACACACTGACAAATTATAACACATTGTTAAATTTGCTCACTTCTTAAAATGGTGCAGTAAACAGGAACACTTTATTTTAATTATTTAAATCCAGTCTGTAATTAATCTGTACAGTAATAATTAGGGAGGATTTATTTCTTTACTTATAATACTAGTTACACATGGAGTCTTACAAAAATATGTTCTGAGGTTAGATGTTTGAAAACCAATAAGCACTTTAAACACATGGGGTCGAGCCTTGGCAATCTGACTCCAGAATCTGATATCCCAGGGTGGCTTGGGTTCCTTCAGTGTGACTCATCCTTATCCACCTCTAGAGGGAAATCAGCCAGTAAGTCCCCCTCAGTGCTTATTTGGAAACAAAACAGCAGAAGAGACAGACAGGGTGTGATCATGTGCACGTCACTCGTTCCTCTTCCCACTGTCCTGACTACTGAAAACCTCCCTCTCTGAGCTCCTTCTAACTGCTCTTTAAAAGCAAGCAGTGGGAGAATGCCAGGCTTAGGGGTTCAGTCATTCACTGTTTCACATCCACACAGCTGCTCTCTCTAGAGTCCTGACCTCATTTAAATGGGTTCTGAATATTGATTTTGACACCCTCTATCACATGGTCTCTTAATTACCATGGTTGGCCCTCTCCTGCCTGCTTATTCTCATGCAAGGCCCTCTACTTATTGCATGGGAAGAAATGTCCGGTTTCAGTCCAAGTCAATTCTTCACCCTGTTTAGAAATTACCCTCCCTGTCTTCTTGGATATTCAATTTTTAATCAATACTATGTAGGATTAATCACAGATGAGCAATATTTTAATATCACCCTAAATATTATGGGCTATGCTATCCTCTTCATGATCCTAACAGATTATTGCGTTTAATGTTCCCATTTTAAAGAAGATTAAAAACTGAGACAAAGAGAAAGTAGTGATTTTTCCTGTGGTCACAAACATGTGAATGCTGCTTATTAATATATTTGAGAAAACAAATGCATAATCAAAGCACTGGGACTAGTCTGTCTCCTGCTTTCATGAAATAGAATACATTTTTTCTTTTAAATTAATTCATATTTACTTTTAACTCAGGTAACATTGGAGTATTGCCATCAGGTATTATACCATAATGCACCCACCAGCAAGTATCCTGGACTCCACATCCACAGATTGTTGTGCTTTCCTCTTTCCCTGTTCTTTCCCTTTGCTCCATCTCTACTCCCTGGTTATCACAGTTATAAAGTTTAGTTCTCAAGTCAGTTATTAAAGGGTAGTTTTTCTATATTTCTTTATTGGAATATTAATTTAATGACTTGCTATTCTACATATTCGTGAACCCAAATGGTACTTATCTTTCTCCTTTTAATTTATTTTATTTACCATTACCATTTCAAGTTCAATCCATGCTGCTGCCAATGACATGAATTTATCTATTCATTTTGTTTTGTTTTACAACATTCTTACTTTTTGTACAATGTACGTTTTCTCCTCTCAAGTACAGTCCCCATAAAATTCCCACCAATTCACCTGTGCACCATCATTATAGTCCCTTTTGCTCTGTTCTCCCTTGTATGGAATTCTCTCCCTCCCCTGCAGAATGGCTCTTATTTATAGTTGCCTGTTAATTTTGTTCTTTCAATTTTTTATAATTATTTTTTTCCTGATCCCTTATTTGGTTCCCCTATATTCTTCCTATAAGTGAAATGATTACTTTTTTTTCTTTTAGCTTATTTCACTCAGTATGATCCCTTCTAGTTCCATCCATGTTGCTGCCTATGGCAGGAGTTTATCTTTTTTGATTGCTGAGTAATATTCCATTGTGTCAAATTACTACATCTTCTTAATCCAATCACCTATTTTTGCATACTACTGATATGCACAAGACTTGTGTAACCATGAGCTCTGGCCTACAGGGCTCTTATTTTGGGGAATTCTTCCTCTGGTTTACAGTTCACCATGGCATCTGGATCCATCATGACGGTCCCACCTGTCTAGTGGAAAATGAGGAACAGCAGCGGAGGGTAAATCAAGAAGCACTGAGCATTCTGGTGAAGATATCAGAGTCTGTGGTGGTGGTGACCATCGCAGGGCTGTATTGCACAGGAAGTGCTACCTAATGAACCACTTTGAGGGACAGAACCACCATGAGTGCTGCTCCGGGGCAGGGGACATGGGTCAATTGTACCTCTTTTGGGATCATGTTAGGAAAAGCCTGGCACTTGCCACAGAAAAACACTAATTGTCAAGAACAAGGTAAAGGATAATTAAAGCAGAGTGAAGGAGTTCATCACTTTAATGTCAGTCACAAGTGTCATCTGCTGAATCAAAGTACATATAGCTCAAGAAAAGCTCCAAGCCAAAGGACTCTCCATACCTGAAAATTAATAAATGAATTAAAGATCTATTCTTTAGAAAGATGCCAGAAAAGAATTCTCAGAACCATCACCTCACACTTTGATATAGTAAGTAGTGAATGGTTTGGACATTGCCCCATTCCTCCTCTCTGTCCTCAGATTTCTTTATAATCTGTTTCACCAGTGTTTCTCTCCTGTTAGCTGGTTATCATATAATCCTCATAGAATTTGTTATTATATGCTTTAGTGATACCAAGGGTGTGGCAGTACATAGGAGGGTGAGTCTGAGGCACAAGAGTGGAGGAATTCACCAGAACAGTGTGGAGAACAGTAAAGGTGGGTTTGTTGAAATACCCTGGAAAGGTTCAGGGCCAAGATGGTAGAGATACATCTGCATGGGAAAAAGAATGGGGTTCCCGTTTTGAACTTATTTTCCTGGGCTTTTTCATGACGAAGAACAAGACAATTTGTGCTAATTATCAGCTGGCTCAAGGTTTCCATGAGCCTTCCCCACAGGAGATTTGTCCTGTCTCTGCTTTTCCAAATTCCCCACAGAACCAACTGGTATTGTGGACCCATGGCAAGGTTTCCGTGGCAACTGTAGCAGTTTCCCATTTTTCTTTTTATGTCTCCCAGCATCATTCAGCTGGGCAAGGTGCAGACTAAATTTACTTCTTAACATACCTTGACCCATGGGTTGTGTTGCAAGATTTTGTAGAAATGGAAAGAAAACTAGGGGATTTTTCTCTAAGAATACAGGAAATAGCTTAAAGAATCAGGAGAAGTGACAAGAAAGTGTGAGGTCTTCATTGGCCTCTTAGTCCAGGTAGGATTCTTCCAACTATGTGTGTATGCACTGTGTAGAACAGTAAGTGAAATATGTTCTATTGAAGCAACCATTCTGCAGCATGGGGATTCCTTCTCTGGGAAGCAAAGGCTCAATTCATAGTTGACAGGTCAAAAAGGAACAAATGAACCTGATATATATTACAAGTGCATCATTTGCCCTCATGAGAATGGTGTGGAAAGAAACAATTACTATAAGAGAGAAGTGACTGGTGCCTGTCCTGGCCCCTCCTGACTCATTTATTGTCTGCTTTTGGTTAACTGCAGGAGACAGAGGACACTGCAGGG